AATTAACTCCTCATAGTCACCATCCCCTATGACACGCGCTCCAGACTTTAAAGGATGCACTGCGTGTTCTTATTTGTTTGTTTAATGATTAGCACTTATAATAAAGTTACTAATGGATTGTTTTTCCTTAATTACCGTCAAATTGCCGTCTTGGAAGATTGCAAATGTATCAAATTAATTTTCTTTTGCATTTCATAGATATATAACAGCATAAATAATAAATATATTTAATTGATATAATATATTTTTGTTTGGGCCGAGCAGTCTTTTATGTGAGCCGAGCTGTCTTTAAATTTGGGCCGAGCCGTCGGAGCCGAGGTGTCAATGGGCCGAGGAATCGTTGGGCCGAGGTGTCGTTGGGCCGAGCAGTCTGACATTCGTCGGTGAGAAGGCGATTGAGGCTGAGCTACACCAAATTGAACAGTTACTATCTAATACTTTAAGTGCATTAAAACAAATACTTGTTTTGTAGTAATGTTACCTTTATATGAATGTTAAAGTTGTTCCTTAGGTGCGTAATCTTTAAACATGAAGTTGTCATGCTTACTCAATATGTAAAGCTTCAGTACGTCGGCCATTTTGATAAATATTAAGTAAAAAAGGAATCCTCCACTGGACGAACATTTTCCGGAATTAAATATTTCATTCTAAATCCCAAAAGTTACCATAGTTTACATGGTAAAAAAAGAAATGTTTATTTATAACCGGGGATTTTACTCATATTCTTCCAGAACACCTATGAAAAGAACATAGAATACTTAATGAAAAAAAATGTCTACGCATACTCCGATTTAATGGACGATTCCAAAATTCATTTGAGAATTAAAAAAAACCTTCTACATGAATATCTAGACATGCATTTTACTCATAATAGATTAAATACATCGTGCAATTTAGTTTGTTGGTGTAAAATGGTTTGTCCATTTGATGATTGTAAACTAACATTTTTTCTTCTTCAAAGAGGAAGACAAACCTATGTGTACACGTGTACGTACAGTCTGTACATCGTATGCAAAAAAAAAATACATGCACAAGACAAAGGAATTTACATATTTTCATTTCAACATTTAAGCTTAAAAATGATTCTTCAGTTCGTTACCATTTTTCATATGTATCTGTACATGGATCACAAACGACAATTAAACAATTTTTTGCGTATACTGCATGAAATCCCAGGTTCTATGTCCAAAGCAAATTTTTTCGCTAGCAGAAATTAGTAAAAATGAAAAATAACTTTTTAAAAAGCTCAACAAAATTGGAAAATTATAATTTTGGGTAACATATTACACATGACAAGATATCTCATCCGTATGAATAATAAAACTACGTACCTTTGATCACGAACACAACCCGTTGATTTGTAGCGAATAAGGAATCGTCTTACACTCTGTCTAGTTGTTTTGAAGTTGTAGTTTGCTTCGAGAAGTTTCGTTATTTTTACAGATGAAAGCCCAGATGCGTGGTACTTGATAATGGTGTTTCGAACAGCCAGGGACAACCTACGTCCTCCCTTCGCGGGCGCCATAGCGAGAAATAAACCAAAATTACTTATTTGGTCATTGCACGGTTCGAAAATAATTGGGGGCGTGGTTTGCATAATTAACCAAAGGACGGTACGGTTCGTTTCTTGCACGGAACGGTACGCTTTGTGGACGGTACGGTACGCTTTGAGAACGGAACGGTTCGCTTTGAGGACGGTACGTTTCGTTTCTCGCACGGAACGGTTCGCTTTGTGGACGGTACGTTTCGTTTCTCGCACGGAACGGTTCGTTTTGTGGACGGTACGGTACGCTTTGAGAACGGTACGGTACGCTTTGTGCACGGAACGGTACGGTTCGTTTCTGAGGTGTAGTAGCACGTTTTAGGGTCTGTAGTTGCGAGATTTTTCCGACCAAGCCCAGATCTATTTGTTTAGGTGGGTCCCCCCAAAACACGTTGCCATCCTGGGGTTTTTTAGTTAAGGGTAGGAAAAATTTTTTCCGGATTTTTTTTTTTTTGTTTTTTTTTTGACGATAAAAACTTCAGACTCCTGTGGCTCAACTCGCTTGTTTACATGGTCTGTTTTCTTTAAAAAACGCTGCACCTACCGATATTTCTGCACCGGACGCCTCAGACCATTGATTACTAATTGTAAATATCCTCACATCTTGCAAATAATTCCTAAAAGGTGATTTTTAAACAATTTTTCAAAATTTTCGTTAACGTGCCCGGAACTAAGTGCAAATACTAAAACCCGAATCAAAATGAAGAATTCCGGCCATTAAGACACTCCAAAATTCTAGAGGCATCCCGAGAAAATTATAAATAGTTATGGAAATTTTAAGTTATATTTAAATTTCTCGGGATGCCTCTAGAATTTTGGAGTGTCTTAATGGCCGGAATTCTTCATTTTGATTCGGGTTTTAGTATTTGCACTTAGTTCCGGGCACGTTAACGAAAATTTTGAAAAATTGTTTAAAAATCACCTTTTAGGAATTATTTGCAAGATGTGAGGATATTTACAATTAGTAATCAATGGTCTGAGGCGTCCGGTGCAGAAATATCGGTAGGTGCAGCGTTTTTTAAAGAAAACAAGCGAGTTGAGCAGACGCCATTACGGAGCCTGCATACCTTTACTTTTTTTACATATCAATAAGGTACATTATAAATATTTATAAACCACGACCCAAGTACCTGTGATAATGCCACATACATAATAAATAATAAAGCATAGAATGATTTTTTTTAATTCTGCATCGTGACCATTACAATGATCTCCAATAAATTCTCTTCGGCGCAGACATCAGAGAAAGTTCATCTTATACTGGTATCCTGGCGTATTGTATTTTCGACCTATTTAGATGTAATTTATTAATTTATTGCGAACTTTATAGAAGCTGAAAAACTATGGGCTTAAAATGTTAGCATATGTGTCTATGAATAAAACTGTACAACCCAAATTGCAGTTTTGTGTTTATTTTATTTATATGCCATAATATGGGGAGGGTGCATTTTTACCTACAAAGATATTAGCGTCTTGTGTTTTCGACCTAAATATAGTATCAACGACCAACCAGTACTGGCTTGAAATATCCGTTGGATATTCCAAACAATAAAAATACGATTGTCTGTCTTTCAAAAAAACATTGAACAAATTCCATATTTCAGTTGAAAATACATTTATTCGTTGGTTGAACCCATTTGTCAGGAGCTGTGCATTTCTAAAAGAAATCAATGAAATTACGTTGCATTTTTCAGTAAAAATCCGTAAGAGAGTGCCCATATCTAATGGAGAAAAAAAATTTGTTTGATCCATCCATTCCTTTAAATATTCATACGCCTATTTGACAGAGATCTTAATTTTCTTTCGGGAAAATGTCATCAAAAAATCTCTGTAATTAACCGATTACGGCTTTGATTAATCAACAGATAAAATGTGCATTAGTAAAAAGACTAGAATTTCTGACATCGGACTAAAATCACATAGGGAATTCCGTTGAATTTATTATTTTGGGTATTTTCACTACAGTTGTACTTAAAAGGTATTTTTCCAAGTGTAGCAACCGAAAATAATGTTCTACCGCGCGGTATCTGCACAGAAAACAGATTTGGAAAAATAGGTCGAAAATACAATTCGGTCGAAAATAGGATACGAAACGATAAATGAACAAAAGCCACCATGGCAACTAAGATCACGTTAAATTCTATATAAATGATATACAGATTATGATGAATAAAAGGAAGGTAGACTTTGTGTGTTAGATCGTTTTTAAATATTATTAAATACCAGTTTTCATTTGTGTGCATTTCGAGGCAATGCATGGGGGGGGGGGGCATACTGCATCCATATTTAATTTAATTTCTAAGTTTGAGCATCCATTTTAGTGTTATTAGGAAAGAAAAGAATTGCTTCCAAAAAAGTGATGAACGCTATAGAAAACAATTTTAAATGGAAATTCAAAATATGTTTATACATGCAGTACGTATACATGTACACAAAATGTCTTTGATGATGTCTACAATATAGCAAAACTATAGATTAAAAAACTGGAACCCACTTTCATTGGGGGGGGGGGGGGTGTTGACCCAGTCTATAAATAAGCACAGTTCTCTCAGCTATCGCATTTCCACTGTGGTCTCACATGTGGGCGCGGTTCACGTGCACAAGCGGCACTTACACGTCTATCATCATGTAAATTATAAGAATTTTCTGTCTTACAGTGGTCTTCTAGCTGATGTTTTCATAACTTCCATCATTAGAGTGAAGAGAAATTGATCTTTTTTTTCACTATTTTGGGACCTTTGTGGCAAGTGGATTGTTGTGTGAATTCCGACCCGTACAAATCTTATACAAGGTATTGAATACTGATCGAGGGAGTCTTGCATCAGGCATCCAGAGGAATACACAATTTAAATCTTCGGCTTGCAATGGCGATTAAGGGAATAAATGTACTTATCATCTATTAGAAGAAAAGAAATATTTTCATAGTATCGTTTAAAAACTGACAAATATCCCATCTAGAAGCTGAATAGTCTATGTCATAAATTTTCGTCGAGAACGACGAAGAACAATGCAGTCTATAAATAGATCGAGGTCGTGTGTGCGTGTAGAAGCACGCCCTCTGGTTGGAAAAAAATGTGCAAATCTTTTTCCCAGAATTCCGATTGACGCAAGCGCACTTGCAGTTTCATCCTAACGTAACTAGTCAGCCCGGGGGCTGACTAATAATGCACACTGAATAAAATGAATTTTATTATTGCTTGTGACTTTCATACCCCATGCAAACACGTAACTGTTAACAAGTAATTTTCAGGCTGAAAATTACTTGTTAACAGTTTATTTCACACATAATACGTTCCGCCCAAAATATCAGGCGGAACGAGCTCGTTAGAAAATGGCCTTCGGATGTAAGAGTCCGAGGTATATAAGGAGCGTAGGGACGTTAACCGAGGCTCTTACTTGTAGGAGTATATCCATCCGGGCGCATAAAAAAATCCTTTTTGAGTATGAAATATTTTTATTTATTATGCATCAGTAATGTCTACCAATACCAACAATTATTTTAAACACTAAACATACTGCAAGCTGTGCATTGGCTACATGATATATTTAATAGCAGTCAATCAATAAATATCCATTCATGCTTTGAAAAATAATATATCCCAAAAAATTTAGTCCTGCCAGAATTCACATTCCTTTCCAAATTCATATCGGGCAAAAATGTTGTCAAACAATCGTTTACAGTTGACTTTGCCGTTGAGTTTAGTACATATTAAGAAAGACCCCGACATTTTCCGATGAAGAGAGTATGTCTCATGGGGTGGAGGCGTAAGTCTATGTTTAGCCATCACTGGAACAAGATTAAAGATACGCATGGTTGCACTTTGGGTCCCGAAATCAAACTTTTCATCCTTCGCCATGGCTTCTCCTAGAATCATGACAGCATCTATGTGAGCAGTCTCCATAGTCTGAAAAGAAAAACAGGATTAAGTAAAACATAAACAGCTGTTTATCAAGTTTTTGTGAACTTCTGTAGATAACCCAGAATTGTAAAAGATACAGTATAATCATAAAATGGTTTACTCCTTTTCTTAGCACCACTACAGTTTAAATTAAATTAAGTTGCACATTTTTGTAAATGCAGAAATTTAAATAAAAGTAAAAAATGTTTGAATGAAATTTTAAAATCAACCAAAATAAAGGGAGATTTTTGAAATAAAAAAACCCATTCATTTCTTTTGCTGCAGTAAGATAAGAACAAATGTCCCACCTTTGTTTCATATCCGGTGAGGAAGCCACACTCTACGGACCAGTGTTTGACGCCCTCTCTGTCCCCTTCTGATGCCGACTTGATAATCCGTATATAATCATCCACAAACCGAGCAGAGAAACTCCGACTGGCTCCAAAGTCTAACAGGATCAGCTAAATATGGGGGGAAAAAGTCATATAAACTTTATAATCTTCTTGGAAAAATTTCTTAAATCTGTTTTCACTTGCATTTCAATTAATTGTTCTATTGGACGAAGTGAGAAAGACAGTGCTCATCTTTACAGATGGTAAGAGCATATACATATCTTTCTTTAAAATATTTTTTTTTTTAAATTAGACTGACCTTTCCAGTGTCTGGGTTGTAGAAGAAGTTGGCCCAGTTTGGATCAGTCTGCATAAATTTCCAATCAAATAATTCTGTCAAACAGAGGTCTAAAATTTCTGTGCATATCTGGAAAACATCAAAACATTACTATACAAGTTTATCTGTAGAAAAAAATGAATACATGAACAAATTTTAATTTCATAGCATTTCTATGCTTATACATGTATGACAAATATTTTGCATACTACCACAGCTAAAGAATCAAATTAATGAAACATGCACTCTCAAAGTAGCCCTGAAAGTAACTACATTAACTTAACTATGTGTATGGTCTAACCTGGTCTCTAGTTTCTTGGTCTAGTTCAGTACACTGATCCAGAGGTATCCCCTCCACAAACTCTGTGGTTAACACCTGCCTAGAGCTCAGCTCAGGTACCACAGCAGGAACCTCTAATAACGGGTGGTCCTTTAGTAACTCTCTATAAAGATATTTAAACAATTGCTTCAATTATGTCATTTCCTTTTTTTAAATTCTTTAATATTTCTCCTCTGCCCCTTTTGATCTTTGTAAAGCTTTAAGCTGTTAAATATTTAAGCAAACTATGATTGACCCCAGAAACTGATGTATCTGCTACAACAAAAACAAAATTCCTAAGCCTTAAAATTAACTTGGAGTGACTCAGGTTCCCTGGATGCACTGTGAATAATGCAAGCATAAAAGAATTCCAAGAATTTCATTATATTTGCCAATATGATATTATCTTAATAAAAGTATAAACCCTTGTTTCAGTTATGCAAAAACAACCTAGAATGTCAGTGTACATGGAAAATTCCTGATAAAACTTACTTGAATTTTATACTACATTTGGCCTCTCTTTCATAATCAACCTCCCAGTTTAATTCTCTCTTTGTGACTCTCATCAGGTCATCAATGTACACACCTGGTAATAAAGCACATTACATACAATTAAATATCACAAAACTTCTCTTCAGAGAGATTTCAATACATCTTTTTTGTTACATGTAAAAATTTGGGAACAAAAATATAAAACAGAATAAATTTCTAAATGCAATGAACATTTATTCAAAAAATCATTTGGCGAGAGAATATTTAGGACAGTGCATGGGTTAAGGTATGAGTACCCTCTATTCCTTTACATAATAAAGCTGAAGCCCTATAAGGACAAGGCCCAGTGCTTTTAAGGAATGGAGAGGTACACGGACATTGACCCACTTAAACTCCAGTTTAAAATGTGTGTACTGAATATTTGCCGATATATGATGTAGACTTGTTTTCTGAATTAGTGTTTAATTTACTAGTACCTTTTGGAAACAAATCCCAGATCTTCAAGACAGTCATTAAATTGTTAATGTCACTTTCTATACTGGTTGCCACACCTGGGTACTGTATTAAAATAAATATGTAAAAGTACATGTATGCAAATTTTTATACTTATTCTAAACATATCAATGAAAGAAGTCAATCAAACTTTACATATGCCATCACTAAATTCATGAATCAAAACCTATGAAAGGTCTACATTAGAAATGAGATAAAAATACACTGTTGTATTGTAACTTGAGCAAAACACATAAAAATAATATGTCTACATAAAGATAGAGATATAATATGATTTCCAGAGATCTATTTGCTTTTAATGTTCATCTTGGTAATATGCAGCTCTTTAAACCTGTATACCCGGTACACATCGATCAAACTACAAAGAGTTATCTTTCCTTATGATCATTTATGCAACCTTCACTTATCACATTATCGGTTCACAGTAGTAAAGTGACAGACTTTTACAGAATTATCCCAGTACCAAAGTTTATGAACTAAAAAGTGAAACTATAATTCACACACAGTTTTCTCCACTGACCAGGACTTTGAAAAATGACCTTTAATTTTTTATCGAGGTTGTTATGATCAAATTTTAAAGGTCATTTTCAAAGTCATGGTCAGTGAAGAAAACTGTGTGTATAAGCTACTAAAATTCTTGATAATAAAAATGTAGTCCTTAAAAGATGGTATTTATTAGGGATGTCAAATCAGTCAATTTTAATATTCGCTATATTCACGGTGTTCATAAAAGTGTAAGTAAATTGAAGACTGTAAAACATTGTAAACTCTTGTAGAAATAAAAAATTTTAGGAGGTTATCTCCGTAAATATTTTATAATGAGCAAATTTGATGAAATTTAATATAACAATTTTTAAATTCAATTTATTTATCAGATAAACACGAAATAAAATCATAAGTTGTTCACAGTGTTTTTGTTTAAAAAAATAATCTGCTGCGTAATTGTATAATGTAACTCTTTGTCGCGTTTCAATTATTTTAATTATCACGCTTTACTTTAATTCTAATCAGCGGATTTAATAATTTTAGTACACTTGTTAAAAAGATTTTTATAGCCAACGCTACGGTATTTGTAGTTTGATGCAAAACACAGTTTTTTTAAAGCCTTTGCCCATGGTGTTTGGCATGTAATCAAACACAACCATATCAACAATCGCATGTTATCAACGTGTATTTGTTACATGTACATTCATTATCATTTATTTAAAATTTTTATCGACTTTAAAAAAAAATAAAGCCAAACAAAAAATAACTATCGAACTTACTGGAGATAATTACTATATAAACACTGCCACAGGCGATAATTATTTCGTTGGCCTACATTAACACATTTATGTACCGTGCACTGGTTTTTCGTAAAACGGCGTTTAATGTTTAAATAAGATTGAGAAATCTTCAAAAATATACATGCACTCATCGTATATAGGAAAGTCATTAGTCGTTTATAGTCAAAGACGATTTATAACTGCACTTGTTTTAATTAATCGTCAATTATAAATTAAATCCAACAAATTTATATTAACCTAACCTGTTGATGTCATTTACATGTAGCTCAAGGGATATGGTCAAGGAATGTAACTTTTATTTTTTATCAACTTTCTGTAATAAAATAAAAACACAAAGGGATCGTGTCACTGTCTGTAAGGGTAATTAAAAAACGTGAAAATTACAACCTGTGAAATTAATCCCCTATTACAGTATTCTTGCATACTAGTAATAAAAATGCAGTCCTTAAAAGATGGTATTTATCTAAGTTCAATGACCAAAGCCATGTGACCATTACTGTACATATACTTTAAATACTTATAATAGACAACTGTTGTAAACATGTAATCCCAAGTTTTACCTGGATTTTCATGGCCACCTCTGTACCATCTTTGAGCTTCCCTTTATGAACCTGTCCAATGGAAGCAGCAGCAAAGGGGATGTCATCAATGTGTTCAAATTTATCCTGCCAGTCATCTCCAAACTCACCCCGCAAAACTTTCTCTAATCAAACTTGCAGTGTTGTTTGCTGTAAATGAACACATAATTGATTTATAAATACAGGATCACTGTAAGCTATTATTATTTTTATAAAAAATTTAAATCATTTATGTGTCAATAGAAAAAATATGGAGGATGAACTGCATTCCTAATGCAGAGCATTAATTGACTTACAAGATTTTTCATCTGCCATAGCACCAGCCTGACCCAAAGGGCCATGACCTTATCAATCATAAATCGCACATAACACAACCTGTAACATTCTGTAAGAAAAGATCTTTTGAATTTTACACTGTATTAACTTTTTACATGAATTGTCTGAAATTGCACCAGAGAAATAAATCTATTGCATCTATCATTATTTTAATATTACACATGATTAAATCAAATTTATTCAAGAACTTTACTTTTGTTAAACTGCAGCTGTGCTTCAAAAATACCAGAGAGGTCTGTTGTTAAATTATATAGAGCAGTAACCACAATTCGTTAAAGTTTTATCTCACTCATAAGAATTAATATCTATCTTGCAAAAATAAGGTGTCAGGAAAATTTAGTGATCTACCGTATGTGAAAATCTCATCTTTTCTGGTGCAGTGGTTAAGAAGAAAGAGAAATACGTTGTATTGCTACTTTTTCCTCAGTGTAAAATGTTGATCTGTAATGTACCTGATTGTTTCTTTAGTCCCAGTCCTCTCTTTGTAACCTCAGACAAAGCACCAACTCCCAGGCCCACAAATAAACCTATAGCAAACAGAGTAAGAGAATTACAATGTAGGTATGTATTAAAATTTTTTGGCTTAAGATCAAAGAAATGTAAGATCTGCTTTCAAAATCACAGATATGCCTACGGTATATAAAATACAATAAGAGAAAAAGGATTGATTTTATTATGCAGCATTAAAAATAAGACAGTAATCTTGATAGAAATGGGTTTTCTCCAATCAAACTTGCATTGTTATTTGCTATAAATGAAGTTTATAATTCATTTACCCTTAATTAAAAACATATCCTTTTTACAATGTGTATAGGGTCAGCTATTTTCATTTTTGTTTTAAAAATTGAAATCATTTTTGTAAAACCTATAGATAAAAGTAACCTATATATAAAACACATGGAGCCCATGAACCAAAACATCCTCACCAAAGACAACTCTATTCATTCTTTACTAGATTTTGATGTAAAAGTTTTATCCCTACTATAGAAACAACCTGACCTAAACGGCCATGAAGTTATCAAACATAAATCACAAATAGCCTGTAATCTTCAGAAAGAAGAAATTAAAGAAACAATTTTAATAAATATTCTATATATCAGTCATCTGCTTATTGCATCCCAACAATTGTATATCAGTTAATATTTAAACAATATAAGAATCAATGTTAAAACTGAGAGTCTCATCCTTTCTGGTGCAGTGGTTCTTATCAGAAAAAAAGATTTTTTCCCTTTTTCTTACTCAGTGTAAAATTATGATCTGTAATGTACCTGATTGTTTCTTCAGTCCCAGTCCTCTCTTTGTAACCTCTGACAAAGCACCAACTCCCAGGCCCACAAATAAACCTATAGCAAACAGAGTAAGAGAATTACAATGTAGGTATGTATTAAAAGACTTCATCTTAAAATCAATGATAGTTTTATTACGTATCATTAAAAATAAGAAAGTAAGCTTGATAAAGAGACAGAAATATAAAAGACTACATATAAACAAGAAAAATACAGAATTATGATAAAGCTCTCCTTACCTCCGAAATTGGCCACTCTTCCAATTCTTGATGATGGCACTTTTCTCTCTTTAGCAGTGTCACTTAACTACAACCATATGATTATATTTTATTTCAATTGATACATGTATATTGTGATTTAAAAAATTTTAAATAATGTTATTCATTATCAGCAAATACAAAACAAAGGGCTACAGCTACATGTACCTTTACTTTTGTGAAATGTATTACATGTATATTTATCTACATTTTTATGGTCTGTTATTTAACTGAACCAAAATAATTTTATCACATTGGTGTAATTTATGTCAGCAAAAATAAAGTCATCAAAAAACATGCATATTTCTCAATCTTTTTAATGATATATGTATCATGATTTGCTTCTGTTAAATAGTTCAATATTATCATTTAATCAACTAGTTTTTCTTTCGGAATTCATGAAATCTCCCTCAGCTATGGTTTGACATAGACAGGTAATGACTATGTTTACTTTTGAGAAATATCCCTACCTTTGGTGCAGACTTGAATGAAGAAAGTGGTGGTCGTTTTGGTGTCTTTACTGTTTTCTTCACTAGATCTTCCTTGACTTGCTCAAAAATGTCCTCTGACTCAATCACTGGCTCAGGTTTTAAGACAGCCTCAGTATTAATACTGGATTCTGTTGTTTTTACAGTTTTTGTATTTTCCAAAATGTCCTTCAGTATAGTCTTTGATGGTGGTTTTTTGCCCACCTTGGAGCTTGTCGGCTTGGCAAGATTTTCTTCACCATCCACGTAATCCACTTCCTTTAAAGCTTCCTCATTCACGCCCAATGCCTTGCTGAAGTCACTTGACAGGTCCAAGTCAGATGCATTCTTGTCCATAAATGGAGCAGACATTGATGGGGCATTTGTCCTTAGGGTTCTAACCACTGTAGATGCTTGACTTGCCATCATCACTGTCTTGTCCTTTATTACTTTCTGAAAATTACATATTCATCTAGTTTGAAATGTAGAATCTCGTAAATATACAAATCTACAAGTATACATACATATATACCATTTATATATATGTCATAGGTAGACTGGTGAAAAATCATGTCTCAACTGGGACTTGAACCAAGGATCTTTGGCATACTATGCCAGAACTAATCGTTGAGCTAGTGAGACCAGATACATTGACTAACTTTCACACATTTGTATGCATGGTGACACATTGTGTCCTTTTGGAAAACATGAAACACAACAGTTTTTCTTATAATTCATATATACTTATATTTACATTAAAAAAATCTCTCCAATTTTTTTTTGACTGCCATAGATACATTTTAGTGTATGTAGGAATTAAGTATTAATAGCCTACAAAAATAAATTGTGTTTTTCAGTGATTAACTATACCGGGATGTTGCTTTGGTTTGAAGTTACATCCTGTACAATGGTCTGGGATCTAGCCAACACATTTTCCGCTGCTGTTTTCAGACTGCTGTTCTTCCATACTTGCTTTATCTCTGGTCCCTGAGTCTCTATCACAGCTCTTGTGATGTATTCCAGACCTCTCAGAAACCCTGCCAAATCAGATCTCTTGGCCATTTCTTTAATATTCTGCAGATCTAAAATAAAATTATAGAATATGTTCTGATTGATTTTTTAACCTCAAATTAAATGTCTGAATAAATTCAACGAATTTTAAAAAAAATGTAAATTAAAATTTACAACAAATACCAAAGAATAAAGTTTTAAATGAATTGCGTAATGCACACATAAAACAGCTGATGGTGAACAGAAGATGAAAAGTTACATCAAGGACAAGAGGTCGTCATATTTTTTTTCTGTCAAAGATGGTATAATTTGCACATTTCATTTGGAATGACATACCTTAGATCGTGGACTACTCAACTCTCCATTGCATTAAAGAGTTATACAAGGAAATCCAGTGTTGTACCGCAACCGCACGTTCGCTTTCTCGTGTTTTGGTTTTAGAAATTAGTTTCGTAAGCACCACATGCTTCCGGTATTGAAACAGGAACACATGTTGCCCGATCCCGATCTATATTATGCACACGGATATACTGATTTTCAGTTGATCACTATTGAACTCTCAGTCTGTGAATTAGTTTGTGTAACATTTTTGGAATGTCTTTTTAATTTTTCCCATTAAACTGTTTTGGTTTTGTTCTCAAAAGTAAAATTAATAAATCATTCAATTTGTTATTTGTAGAAGTTAATGAAATAAGTGAATTTTTTGTTAAGAAAGGTCCTAACCACTGAGCCTGATTGGTGCCCTAATCTTGGAGCCTAATAAGTAACCTAATTATGATGCTTAAAAGATGTTCTGAGTGTATAAGGTGTCTTGACACCTAACAATGTTGCGGCATATGTCTTTGGAACTTGGAACTTGCGACATGCCCTTCCCTAACTACTGTAAACCAACTTTTATTTGCGTGCGAGAAATATTCATAAGTTTCGTGACCTCCTTTAAATCGCGCATATTAATTACTGCTAACCATTTATTTTGCTTTTTTGTAGAAAATGTTTCCTTGTTCGTGAAAAATAATTGTCGCAGATTGGTTTCAATTTGACGAATCGCGAATAAAGATGACGCAAATAATAGTTAACAGGTGCCCCTAACTATGGTGCATGCATAATGCCCTAATAGATGTCTTAACATATAGGTTCGAACTTCAGTACCAAATTTTTTCCAAAAAGCACCACTTTCCCAAACCTATACTGCAACGTGTCTGTGGAAAGTGAGGAGGGAATTTCTCTCTCAATGTTCAATGTCTATACTAAGTCTATCTTTGGAAAAAAGGTGGAGGGGGGCCCCCCCGTTTTAAGCCTATGACGTTCTAATTATGGAATCCTTATTTTGTGACAAATTCCCTTACTATGGAGCCTTATACCCTTACAGGTGCCCTGACTATGGGGGTTTATGCCTTAATTGGTGCCCTTACTATGAAGTATGTCCTCACCTGTGTCCTAACTGTTGGGCCTTTTGCCCTAACAGATGCCATAGTTATGGAGTTTAATGCCCTAAAAGGTGCCCTTACTATAGATTGATGCTCTAGCAGGTGCCCTAACTACGAAGCCTAACGCCCTTATAGCTTACAAGTGTCCTTACTATGAAGCATAATTATTAATGCCCTAATCGCAACTTATGAACTTTTATAATTGTTCTAACAGTGTTCTAGTAATGAAGTCCAAAAATCAGAGGCCCTGAAGGTGCCCTAACTATGGAAAATTAGGCCCTCATGCCCTAACTATAAGGCCCTGCAGGTGCCCTAACTCTGGAATTATATCAGGTGCCCTTATATAAGGCCCTACAAATATTTTACCATCTTTTACAGGCCCTCGCAGGTGCCCTAACTTAACTAGAGGCCCTCACAGATATTTTTTAGACCCTTAGGTGCCCTAACTATGGAGCTTAGAGGCCCTCGCAGGTGCCCTAACTATGGAGCTTAGAGGCCCTCGCAGGTGCCCTTACTATGGAGCTTAGAGGCCCTCGCAGGTGCCCTAACTCTGGAGCTTAGAGGCCCTCGCAGGTGCCCTTCTACTATGGAGCTTAGAAGTTATAAGGCCCTGATGCCCAACTATGGAGATTAGAGGCCCTCACATGTGCCCTAACTATGGAGATTAGAGGCCCTCACAGGTGCCCTAACTACGGATCCTAATGCCCTAATTATGGGGCCCCATGTCCTGATATATATAACACATTAATAACATGTGCCCTAATTATGGAGCTAAATGCCCAAACAGGTTTGCTAACTCTGGGGCTTAATGTAACACAGAACGCATCACCACAACTTCACGACAGATGGAACTATGGAGCCTTAGTCCCATGCCATTACAAAGAGGTCTTATAATGTTATAGGTTTCAAACAAAGTCTAGCGTTGTCACTATTATATTAAATCTATTCAAAATGATCAAGAGTTCCTAATTTAAAACACAGGTTCCACATTATTTCTGACGCAGGAACTTTACCTACAGTCACTTACTAAGGACCGATTCTTAGAGATAAAACACGCATAAACTGGAAAATGTTACATAATCATTATCATTAAAAAGTTATGTCGGAATTTGTGTAACAGTAATGTAGCATGAAAATCGAAGACTAAATATTCCAAAGACCCCCTCCCTAATTAAGAAAAAAATATTTAAAGAAATTGATCAAGTCTAGCTTGCATGCATTGTTTGTTTTGAGTGGCATTAATATTAATTTTAGTAAGTAACATGTAGTTTAGACAGTTTAAATTAATTTTTAGCTTGAAGCTGTCTTAAATATCTGTATAAAACGTTTAGGAGAAATATGTGCGGGTTGTATCATTGTTTTTAGACAAAGTGGAAAATACATCTGTATGATTAAGGATGTAGATGGTACATGTATGTAAACAAATGATCACGTATTCCAAAAATATAAAGCTATTTCTGAATTAACTAATTGAAAATATTACTCAACTTTTTTTCTTTCAAAGAAAATAAAGATTCGTTGAATCATAAAAGCAGCTGTGATGGAAATTATAACTTCTAACAATGAAAGACGGTCAAAGTTTAAGATAGATCTAAATAATAAAAAAAATATGAGTGGATATTTGTTTACCTTCAAGCAATCTTATTTTTTTTCATAATGGTAAATTGGTAAATACTGTATGCAAATATTTATCAACGCCCCCCCCCCCCCACCCAGTTCATTTGAACCAGACCCTGGATTGACAGTTTTAAGGCAGTACTATAGTCAAGACGTCATAGAAACTATCAGATGTCATTAAGTTCATGATTTCCTGACCTTTGTTTTTATCTTTTTGCCTGGCGTCTTTTTTAAAAAAATTATTTTAATTTTCTATAGAATTTATTAATCATGAAAAGTTGATTTTTCATTAACAACGAAAAGTTGATTTTCTTTTTTTATTCTTTCCTAAAGCCATTTTCTGCATTCGTTGTCCTTATTTTCTTTTGACAGCATATTAGAAGTTAATAAAATTAAACGCTTCTTTAAGGTGCTTTTTCATTCATAATGAAAAGTTGATTTTCTTTTTTTATTCTTTCCTAAAACCAGTTTCTGCTTTCGTTGTCCTTATTTTCTTTTGACAGCATATTAAAGGTTAATAAAATCAAACGCTTCTTTAATCTTACATGTACCTCAATTCTTTCCGGATACGATAGAAAAAATACTAATAAATTCATTTTATTCATTATTTCGCCTTTAATTGGTTTATTAAAAAAATATTTTGCAGTCAGTTTGATTCTTCAGGAAAATCACCCTCCTAAAGAGAGTTGAACGGGATGTACCGTAGAAGCGCGCCGTGTGTGTGTGTGTTGGGGGAGGGGGGTTGGTTGGTTAGTTAGTTTGTTGGGTGCAAAACGGAAGTGTGTTGGAGTTTGCATCGGTGTCGATGTGAAATACTGCTTGATTTATAAAAATGATCTTTAGCAAGGGAATGCTCCGCTTTGCGGTGCCTTTGTTGCCATTCATTCCATGGTCCGCTCATTTTGTTCCTTCTAGAAAGGTTTAGGAATCTTAACAGCCTCATAAGCGGACCTGAAGATGGAGCAACTGCATTCTCTGTAGAATTAAAAAAAAAACAATTTCCACAAAATTTATAAATCAAAAATCAATAGTAGGACTGTAACTTATAATGTGCAATAAGAAATACTGCTATGTAGTGCAAAAAGTCTTTAATCTGAAAGTCCCTGTTTATTTCGCCAATAGGGTTAGAAATATTCGATCTTTGCAGTTACTGACCCTTTCTTTTACTGATCTGGTATAATTTATTGAAAGTATTTCAAGATCTCTGGGATTGGCTGTATTATACTGAGACCAAAGGTTTCCATACTCATTTCTTGCTAACCCATAGTAGACTTAATTTAGGGCTGTATATAAGCTCACTACACAATAAAATCTGTAATCACCTGTAGAAGGAATGAAAACACCAGAACATATTTTCAGCCCATACTTTATTCTGCAATAAGTTTATTTACTCTGTTTAAGATGATTACAATGGTATTTGCTATAATACCTCCTTCCAATGTACTATACAGATCACACAGTTCCTTTAACTAGTAAAATACTTGTCAATCAAACAAAATTTCTTTTCTTGCACTATTGGCCCACTCATTCAAATTTTCTCTGAGCAAGCTAACAAAGTGTAAATGAAAACGTATATCCTTCCACATGTATCTTGACTATCAGATATTTTTAAAATTCAATGACCAAAAAAAAAATTTAAATCAAAATCCTAAATACCACAGAAATCTTGAGAGATTAACCCTATAACAATCAATTCTTTCTTTCAAACAAATAAATTGCACCTCAAATTATCACAGCATGTCAGTACATTCAAAATAAATGGAAGATTTCAACATAGGCATCTCTTGCTTTCTATAACTCAACTACCCTTATCTCTCACACAGGCTTTCACTCTAGAGCATTTCTCCCTGAATTTCATGTACAAAAACTCAGCACTATATTGGTTTCAAAACCAAACTTCTGTCCATTATCCATTAACACATGGCAAAATTCCATTCAGTGTGCAAGTTTTGGTTTTAAAAAATATTAACTCAAGAAGTCTGAATTTCCTCCAAGATCTGTCAATCAGTTTTGTGTTCAAACAAAAATGTATTCTATTTAATAATAGAGAAGTACTGAACATATGTTTCTCAATTTTTTGCATTAAAATATTTTGAAAGAGATACTAGAGCAAATACCATGTCAATTAATTATCTTTACAGAAACATTCAGAGCAATTCTGTACTTTCTTTTGTACATCATTCTATATTAAGCTTATCATATAGGTGACAAAAAGAAGGCCAAGAATTCATCACTGAATTCTCTGGGGGGAAAAAAATTAGAAATCCAGAAGTTTGGTTTTTAGATTTGTTTATTTGGCACATGCATATTGATGCCACTAAATAATTTAGACAATAGTTTGTTCTTCACATGACTCCTAATCAGTGCATATCTTGGGGAGAAAAAGAAAAAAAAACTACAATAAATTATATATCTTTAACTGAAAGCCATTAACAAACCATACATACTAAAGTGACAACAATTTGCTTTACAGTAGAAATAAAATATTTAACAAAACATAACACAAGACTGGAGTTTTGCTCTATTTTCCACCATCAATCTTCACTCACTTGAAGTAGTTTATCCTTTTATGAGGTATATTAAACCAAACAATATCTATACACAACAATCAGGATTGTAGGCCAACAAACAAAAAAAACAGTCAAAATAAAAACTCTGTCCCTTCACTCACCAGCAACAAAAATAATCATCAAGTTAGTTAAGAATATTGTAAGAGAAAAAGAAAAAATTTTGAATTCATCGTCATAATCCAAATCATCATCAGTGTGCACTGCAGCTTTTATACATCTAACACAAAAAATTTTCTGACGTGTGTATTATTAATTAAGTTTACAAATTCCAATATAAATACAATATTTCCATTGTAGACTGATGGCATCCTACTGTTTTGTGCATGTTAGATTACACTCAAGATTTATACACCTCACCAAAAACATTACAGCAATACCATCTGACTTAATTCACATATAAATAAAATATTTCTATAAATGTCAATATATAATTTGCATGTACTTATTTACAAACAGGAATTTCCGTAGTCATAGCAACACAAGCACTATACAATGTACATATTCTCTGTGTTCACATGTTCTTCCCCAATCACACAAGGTATCCTCATTTACCTGCACGAAGGTTAAAATTACCTTCAAAAAGGTAAGATTGACCTTTGTTTGGGTAAGTAAAATACCAGACAAGTAGCATTCAGATATATAACGATCCCTGCACAGCATTAAAAAAATCATATAATGACATTGCAATTAAACCTAACTAAGATTTTCTACAGACTATGTACAATTCTATGTGGTTTAATGATCTTATTGGAATATCACAGCTTAAAAAGGTTTAAATAATGAATTGCTCACTATAATGTGACAATGTGGTGTGAAAAATAAATATTAAATGTAACAATATGACATTCTGTTCTGGGAAAAAAAATGAAACAAGAGGGAACTACTGGTATAAAAAAAGTTGTTATCTCCCTTCCTCATTTTGTTTCTATGAAAATTCAATCTCATGTTTAAGTCAGCATGGTATTGCTATAATCCAACTAAAAACTCAGGAATAAGATGTTTGGATCCAGTTCGCAAGGTACAGTTTGCAACATAAGTGGATAACTTGTAACTTGGTTAAACTGGAAAAAGGATCATAAATAGCTATTAAAAAAATATATAAATCTTTGCATATCACATCTTTACCCAACTCATGTTAGAGGTAGACTAGATTTTTTTTTACAATAAATATATAATATATAAATCCAAATGATGCTATTATAAAGTCGGTCTGTGAAATACTGTCTGAATTGCTTCAATGGAAATGTTCAAGACCCTTTATTTTGCTTCACAATTTCGATTTTAATCTTCGGTGGAAAAATGAAATGGAAGATTAATACTTATTATAAAACTAAATGTACATAAACTGTGATCTCAAAAAAGGAAAGAAAATCCTAATTGGAAATGATTAATGTTCTTCTTCGGAATAATTTGTGGATGACTGAAAGTATATTACTAAATGTTTGCACCAATATTTGTGGAGTTCAAAAAATAACTACTACCCCTTGTCAAAAGAGCAGCACATTTGCAAAGGCAAAATAATAAAAGGAAATGGAGAACATATTCCACTATATACAAATAAAAAATAAACTTCTCTGATTAAATGTTGGATGAAAATGTTTTTGAGATCTTTATATCTGCTTTCGTGACGAGTTTCCATGTGTCTCTTGATATGTGTGTGGAATAAAAACAAACATCAATTATTATGCCTCCTACGTCTGTAATCTGTGTGTAAAAACTGACTAGGTTTGTTTCATCTTTTTTATCAAAAGAAAAAAAAAATCATGAAAGCTCTGTATGAAAGTTTTGTACATCTGTCGTGAAGTTATGGTGATTCGTTCTGTGTTACATGTTAAATATGTATACCTCTACAAGTATGATGGATGAAAACCCAAGGGAGTTAATTCTAGCAACAGCAGGAAGTTGCACTCAACAAATATTCTACTCTTTTGAGAAATGGTAATATCTACTGAGAATTGTGAGATGAGATGAAACATGTACCAAGGAGCTGGCTCCAAACACCATTACGCCATGATGAAAACAATGACAAAAAGCCATCACACAATCATAAATAATAATCATGATAGTAATTTTTTTTCAAAAAGGTCAAGTATTGTTTCTGGGTTTTTTTTTCAAATCTGTTTGAAAGACATTGTAGCTGGCACATCATCAAATAACAAGAAACTATATGATAAATGCCAAGGATGACAAAATGGGTGATTTCAAAAAATGCAAAGAACCCAGAGAATACACGAATGTCCATAACACTGATGGTGTGTAATTTCATGCGAAAAAGTTTTGTGTTTACTGCTGAAAGACGATACTTTTTAAACATGGGCTGAAAGTGGCTTTGTAAACAAGCAAAATTGGCAACAACAGAATCGAAAGAGAGCAAGAAGAAAAAAAATATCTTATATACATATAATATTACTCTAGCCTGCTTCACACTTGAACATTAAGATATATTTGGGTAAAAAAAAAATCACTTGATACCCATCTGAGGATTTAAAAAAGAAGGAATAAAATGACACACACATCCACACAGCTCTGGGTAAAGATAACTACTGCTTCAAACACTTACTAACAAATTCTAGATATAAATATTCCAATATGTAATACATAAACAATCTAGTAATGCAGATACATAACACCAGTCGGGAAGGGAGTTTTGACAGCTCTCTACGTCTTCTTTCTTTAAAAAAAAATATCAGAATCTGTGACATTGTCACCCAGGCTCACTTTCTAAGAAGTTAATTAATGAATTATGTAAATATATTAATTAGTCAGTCATAGTGGCATGATTACATCATGGTAATTAGATCTCAAACTGCAATATAAATAGGCATACAATTTTATACAACAGCATTTTACTACAACTGTTAACAACTTACTTAAATAATAACAATTAAAAATGACTACATATTTAAACAATGTAACAGGTATTATAATTTATACACATTAATAACTATACTGTTACATCATTCCATTCACTGACTCTTGAGAAATTCCCCAAGAATTACTGATGCTTTATGGACAATGGACTTGTTTGTCACAGACAATATCCCAGTCATTGCTTTGCATTATCGAAAAAGTAATCCAAAACGGTCTTGAACGAAAAAGCCCAATCATGCGTGTTTCTATGGAGTTTGATATGTTTTAGATGGATTTCATATACATTCCATTTCATATCTGAATGCTTGGCAATTCAATATCCCTGCATTTTGTCACTTCCATTCGAATTAAAAAATAAAATAGTGTTTGTTTCACGACACCCAGTAATGAACTATGATCAACCTTTCTGAGAAAGGCAAGGTTTCAATTGAAAAAATCCTTTATAGTTAATGCACACAAAGAAAAACTAAGAATAAAAAATATATATCAAACCAAAATCTTAAAATATTGTTAAGAAACCATTACATGATTGGCTAAAAAAGTTTCTTTTCACCGAAACCTGGTTCTGCATCGAGAACGTTATCTTCTTTCAATCTCTATAATAAAACGTCAAATCCTGATCATTTTGTTTTAAAAAAAGTTCATTTGCATTCAATCCACTCTATGAGTGCTAAGTGGTTGATTTGATGAGGTTTTAAATAGTATGAAATTTAATGCTGGAAAAAACGATATCATATTTACATAAAAACAAAGATTTAAAACAATTATCTTCATCACATGCAGAATAAATAAAGAAAACAACAAAATGCTCTTCTTTTCTGAAGAGTACGATAGATACAAGTCTCTGTTGTAACTCAAAAACAACAACAAAACAACAATATGACTTTTTTTCAAGATGGTCATGCACTGAAAGAAGATCTGTAATGACTCTATATGCATTGTGAAAAAAAAAAACAATATCCTTTATCAAGATGAGGGGTACAGTGCATTCCAAAAATAATATTAAAATATAAACTCATTAAAATTAGAAAAAAAGGAAACATATAATCTATTATTTGGAAAGTAAATTAAAGCCAGTTGTGGGTCCTAGCGTGCAGCTTGCTGGGCCCTTTTGATCTCCTCCTGTTGTATCCTTTGCTGGATTAAATACCTGGCTTTACTTATATTACTGGGAGATCCAGTGACAGTGACGATGCGGTTACGTGTTCCGGGCACATAAACTCCTTTTTTCGATATCTGAATGTTGGTTTGAGTGAACTGCTGCAGCTCCACTATTCCTTTCCCCCCGGGCCCTAGGATGGCTCCTACTATACTCTCCGCCACCTCCAACTCTTGTTTCTGGGTCCCCTGCTTGTCTTCTGTTGGGCTGTACATTCCAGTCCCCAGTCCGAATGAATTTTGATTCAAATTCAAACTGATGTTTGGAGATCTATCCATCTGAGGGAATCCCTGCGGAGTACTGGCATATGTTGTAGCACTAAATGAATCATTCAGCATTGGGCTTCCACCATATCTCTCTTGACCCATGCTTGGAGAAGAACTGCCAAAAAGGCTGGAACCAGCCCCCGAGCCAGAGCTTCCTAATCCAGATGAACCACTGCCAACCGGCCCAAACAGACTACCAGCAGTGGTGGAGTTGTTACTTGTGTTCAGAAATGAATTATTGTTCACAGTTTGTGCAGAGGTGGTTGGGGTGGCAGCTATCATTTGAGTAGCTCCCATGGATGAATTCAGATTCATGCCAGCCAAGGTGGCAGATTGGGTGGGCATACTTTGCATTGTCATGCCAGGAATCTGGTTCAGTGAAATCATGTTTAGAATTCCATAATTAGCTAAAGTGTTCATGGCTACAACAATTTCTTCGGTAGCCTGATCAGAATAGCCACTGCTTCGGAGAGTCATTTTCAAACTTTCTAATCCAGCGGATGTAAAGGCTCCATTAGGATTTCCTCCTAGAGCAGCATTTATATTCAAATTTGTCATTCCACTGCCTAAACTGCTATTTAGTACATTTCCGTTAAATCCTATACTGTATGCTGTGGCACCTTGTGCCTGATAATTGTTCGTGTTCACCTGCACCATTTCCTGGCTACGACTCTGTGTGAATGCATTGTTTGCAAATGGTGATCCAGTTGGGTTAGCACTAGCTACAGGTCCTGTATAATCTGCATAGCTTATATTTGGACAACTTCCACTTTGGGGATCTTCTACAATTTTTTGTAAAATAAGTTCTACAGCTTTTCTGTTATTCTCAATTTCTCCTGCAAAAAACAAATAAAAAAGGTTATTTTTTTCATCACACTGATAGCAAAAAAGAATATCATACTACAGCTTACAATTCAAGAAGAATGAAAACAGCAATTGACTGATCGATACACAAAATGCTCTGTTTTAAAAATATACCTCTCTTTGAGAGCATGGAAGCGTTATAATAAAACTTTGATCACTATTTGTCAAAATTTATCATTACTGTTTCTAATGTAAAACAAATACAAGTCTTATGAATTTTTGACTTTGTAGAATACCTTCACTCAACATACCCGCTACAGTGATGCAGCGCTCAGGTAGATTGGTTTCTTTTGACTTCTGGGAGATTTGAATGTAAGCCCCGCTTTCTTCTTTGATTTGTTTGATGTAGTTACCCCCCTTGCCAATGACCATGCCAGCTGTACTGTTTGGAACTAGAATTTTTACCTACAAAAATATAAAAACTTGTTAATCCATTGAAATGAATGCAGCTATTAATCTTGACAATGCACATAATAATATAGTTTGAACCTCCACTGATACTTCAGTTATCAAACTTTCTTTATAAAGTTTTCTTTCAGCCCATAATAGAAACAAAATTCTGTTCATTTTTAAGGGGGTACGGGGAGGGAGGGGGTAAATTTTTGTTTTTGGTGTTTTTTTTGGTTTTGAACATCGTTTGATTAAATGATTTATTCTGACGTAGTATATAATATGTACTCTTAACAATGATAACCAGACATTATATTAAGAATGTGTTCAAAGACTATAAAGTTGCTAATTATTATGATATATAACAGCTAACAACAATTTGCAACAGACATTCCACCAAACAGAATTATTTTGAAACTGGTTCATTCTAAAGGATGATCAGATAATGGTTCAGCTGCCAAGATACGAAAATGCAGTCATTTTTTTTCTCTTAAAAGCAACAAGAAACCTGCAGTTCAACTACATTTGAAAAGCACTTCATTTCACCTAGTCCCACTTCATGGCTTTTTTGACAAATATTGTTTAGACTCAGAAGAAAATAGAATTCTTTTAGTATTTGGCAGAAGAACAGAAAATGATCTCAGCTCCACGTGCCACAGAGAGATTCCATTAAAGTGCCAACAGATCTTTTATCTATCAACATGCGCATTGTGGAGTTTTTTAGGCATTCTGTTATATTATCCATGAAATATACAAAAGTTCTTTTTTTTTACAAAGGCCCAACTGTTGAGTTTGACATGGAAAATTTCCTTGAACATAATTATCTCTTGAGAGAGAAAATGAGAGAGCGATTCTTTTTATTAGGATAGAATTCTAGCATTTACCCTCAATTTTTTGTACTATACAATCAAAATGTTATCCAGAACAAATGATTTAATCAGAATCACAATTTTTTTTTACCATTGATGAAATAAACATGCTTTCAATATTAAAATATGTTTGGGGATTCTTTTTGTCAATAACAAATGTTGTGGTTTCCGATCCATTGAGCTAAGCTTCTGAGACAGCTGCTAACAACATCACAGGAGGCCATTTACCTCCCCTTAATCTGACATCATCAAGGTCATATATATATCTGTAAAATGGCTAAAGCCAAGGAAGCAGTATGTCAACTGCAAAAACGATTAAGATTTACAGAAACTGTGTATAAAAATTCTTAACCTGAAGCTAAAAATATTTTTAAATCTGTAAATCTAATCATTCCTTCCTTATCAAACTTGAAGACGAGACACAGGCTAGCACAATGATGTAACACTGATATGAAGAAATTAAGACAAGTATCTACTCAACAGCAGCATTTAATCAAACCACCACTTCCCATGGTGTGTATATAATATATAAACATATGTACAAATCAACCGACTGCAAAAAATTGCACAGAAACAACCCCAGCCTTTTGTGAATGAAAGACTAAATTTCAGGATATGTACATTTTTATAAGCACTCCCACAAGCATTGTAGTGGCATACTGCACAAAAATCAGTTTCCGTTGGAATTGACAAATCCTGCTGGGTTGACGAGCTGCACATAATGCAATGCTTAAGTTTTATCTGCCAAGCTATTCTTATTGATTTAACAAACCAAACATCAATTAAAAAACGGATGCATTATACCAACAAAATCAATTATATCAAACCTGTTCTTTTCATATTAAACAAAATAACACTTTCAATATAGGCATTGGAATTCTTCACTATTGAGTGATGGCTATAATAATCACCTAATAATATGCTGACAAATTTTTGTATACCTTGATTTCCCCTTTCTATTTTTTTTTTCCAGAGATATGTAACATTAAGTCTAATCAAACTTCAGAAATTTCAATTTCTTTACAAAAAAGAAAATTAATGGACTTTTTATCAAGAGTAAATTTTAGAGATCACAAAAAAATGTTAGTGAATACCATGAAGCTCTAAACAGGTGTGAATGCAATACACTTATATTCTTCCCTAGGGTTTCAATATCCTTGTTTGTATTAAATGTATACACGTTATTAGTTTTTTTTTGTACCCTATGTCCATTTTTGTTTTGGTTGAATAAAGTTCTTGGAACTAGGACAAAAAAAATATTCATAGAATGTTGCAATAGGTTTAATTGCACTTAAACACCCACTATAATGATAAAATTGTATGATGTACAGTACATGGATATACCCCAACCCCTTGAAAAAATCCTAAGGAGAACACAATGAGATTTCCACATAATATATGTCAACGTTTCTTCCTTATTTTTTCAATATTACCCCCTTGTTAAATATGTTCAAATCAATAGCAATATGAGACGATACCTGTGTATTGGTATAAAATTGCAATAGGAATGGCAGCATTTGTTATTTATCAACATTTTTACTTCTCACCTTAGTTTAATGAACTTAAAATCTTAAGAAACAGTAAATGTAATATTTTATGCTAACGTCCATCTTTACAAACCAAACTAATCACAATTTTACCTGTCTGTGTCGTTCAAAGTTTTTATTTGTTTCGTCAGGTTTGGGGTTGGGATCTGGTTTTTCTCGGATTTTCTCCATGATGAAACAATGGACTCTTTTGACGGCTTCTACTCCCCCCATGATCAGGCAGACCCTCTCTGTTGTTCCTGTAAAACATAGCAATATGTCAATCTACATTAACTACGCCAGCTGCCAAAGACATTCCAACATGATTTACAGATTTACACTGGTCTAGATTCCTCTGTCTATGACACACAAATATTCCTTATGTTAAGGGTCTGCTTCCAATGTAAGAGAGTCTCAGAGTACTTTGTACTCCCTATTCACCATGAACTTACTGTCTTGATAAATTTCAATTTTGAACCTTTTTAATATCTATAAAGCATATACTTTTGAAGTTAACAATATACATCTAGTACCAGCAATCCATATAACTGGAAGACATGATAGAATTATAGGTTTAGGGACTACAAATTCTAAAAAAGTTGTATCATTTATGTTTGAGAATCTGCATTATATGACCTTTCTTGTTTCAGTTTCTGATAATTTGCAGTTGCCACAAATACATTGATTTAAACTCCTTAATAATTAACCAATGTCACAAAGGCGGTAGTCCAAAATCGACTTTCACGTTGATCATTTAAGCAACAATTACAGTAAGTTAAAAGCCCACACAATATGTTCCTGAATTATCTGCTATAGTTCTAGAGACAGACTCCCTGCCTGTATAAACCAGTATACCTTTGATAAATTATGCAGTTTATCCTATTCCAATGAAAGGCAAGGTTTAGTGAAACTATATTTAAGAAAAAAATAAGCTAATTAAGTGAACCCAATTGAATACATAGGTAAATTTTATTCAAAAATGATTCACTGAAAACTGAAAAGTTTTATTTTACTGAATTTATGATGCACATCTTTTTATCTGCATCTTGATTAAGTAAACTGATAATTCTCTTGTCAAAAAATATGTACAGACAAATCAAATGTACTGCAAATCTGAAGTAAAATTAAAACTGCAGGGGAAATGAATTCTCACTTAACTTTATTTTATATGAAGAGATCAGTTTCTCCTTTTAATACAAACATGTTTTTGCTGTTGATGAGTAGCTATAGGGAAAAGGATTAAAGGGGCAGTGTCCTGTTGAAGGGTTCTTTTAAGAATGCTCACAATTCATTAATAATTGTAAGGTGTTGGTGCGAATCATACAGCCCAGTGGCTAAGTAATGTGACAGCCTTCACTTTATTATGTCCTTAAAAACTTTTACTCTCTCTCTGATATAAACACAGTCCACCCAAAATTTGGGTGTATCTGCGGTGATAACGATGGATTGCATCAATTGGTCCCCAGGCAAACCTTTAACTATCTGTGGACAATGTCTAGAAGCAGTTACAATTAATACATTTCATTGAATTGTTGGCCAACAAATACAGACTCTTTCTGAAAAATCAAATAGACACTTAAAGGCAGGAAAAGGTCGTGGGACTTTCTAATACTAGTAACTAGATTCAATATGGTGGACAGCCAATGGACATTAAACTCTGTTCCCACCGCTGTCACATGTATCTATACTAGCAGTCTGCCTACAACATTTTATAACTATTTCATTACTTTTATTCATTGATGTAAGCACACTCAGGTGCTGAAAGCCATCACTTCTATAAAATGGCCAGGACATAAATTTGGCTACCATATAGCCATTGTCATGAATGCATCCATTTACATACTAATCTTTTTTGCTTTTCGCTGTGATATTAAATATAAGAACATTTCTGCAGACTTCTGTCTTTCGGGAAATGAGACAAGAATTCAGTTCCTTAACTTGAGATATGAGAAATGTATCAAGAGAAAAATTATAATCTCCATAAAAATGCATTTGTTGACAGGAAAATATCTTAATGTTTGAAATACCAGGTAATAATACAGACTTAATTCACAACAACAGAATCATACAACTACATCTGTAGTATGCTAAAAAAAGTGCTGATTTGTGAAAATCTGAACAGATGGTCTTGTTAACGACAAAAAAGATAACAAGGACAGATTTTGTGTAGTGATGATAATTATCTTGTTAACTAGGACATCAGATCTGCTCCCTAAGTAACACGGTTACATGGTAACAGAGAGCCTTGCTTTGTGATTGATGCCCTTACCAGGGTTAATGGTTACCAAAGTGCACTTCGTCTACCAACACCTGGAGATTTGTAGGACATTTCTTTTCCATGTCTCCTTCATACAATACCATAATCATGGGCTATTTCTTTTTTCCAGGCCAAAATGGATTGATTTTTACTACATGTATTTTTGTATTTTTGGGAGGTTGTTTATGGGTATAGGGCTTCACAAATCAAGAGATATGTTTAAAATAAATTCACATGCTCCGAATAATTTTAACCTAGCACAGTTTTTAAAATTGAAGAACTCCTTATAAATTTGTTAACTTATAAATCATAAATCTGTAAAACTGAAAAATTCTATGAAAAATGTTCAAATTTTTTTTTTAAGTACATGTATATATACATTTATATAAATTCAAATATATACCGTTAAGTATATACATAGTTTAAATTTAGTGTACTTCAGATTATTCAAACTAAATGCTTGGCTGTGCCAAATTTAATTGTATTTAACAGTAAATCCTTCCAAAATTTTCTCTTTCACAGTGCCCTCACATTATGATTAAAAAATTCCTATGCTTAGCATGTTGTATTCAGGCAGGCATAAAATTTTCTTGTTGTTAATATTAAATGCTCCGGTAATAGATTGAGAGATAGGGACTATATAGAATTAAAATACTGGCCTCCGTGACTTTGGAGCCTAATTCAGACTAATAAGATTTGATGTTTACCACTTTAATTAGAATTATACACAAGTTGGAAAGGTTATTGTTGTGCCCAACTTATTAATTTCTCCTAGTCAAACTAAATATGAAGATGTAAACATCAAAGTTATATTTTATGACACAAAACTGACCATCAATTTTTTTAGAAATATAAAAATAACTAATTTCTCTATTAGTATTTGAGGTACATTAAGACTTATTTCTAGATGAGAAACTCTAAACTCCTGAGTGGAAGCATTCAGATAATGCACAATTCTCTGATGTGCAATGTAGTTATGCAAGAACCTGCATACATCATAATTTGTGTGAAGTGTGTGTGTGCAGATCCTGTATAACCAAGTGTGAACTGTGTATAGGATATAATACAATGTACAATGTTGATGTATACCCTAGCTTGTTTATGTCATTTGTTTGCTAGATAACATTAGTAAAGATGTATTAGCTATGGCATATGTGTAGAGTCTTGCACCAATGAAATTAATATTTATTACATAATTATATGTAATTTGCATTTTTTCTATTAAAAGTGCAATATCAAGTCATACGCTGGATAGACCAAAAAAAAGGCTTATGCATTCAGTATTTACTATTAAGGAATAGAACTATTAATTGTGAAATACTTTACTACAAAAACATTTACCGGGTAAAACTAACAACTGGAATCTTACTTTTTCATGCAAGCATAAACATGTCTGTGACTTTACATGAGGCACAGAGTTTTAAAAAGATGGATTTTTCCTGCCTAAACTTATGCTAAATAATTGTGGACTTTAGCATGCATCGGCAGCCCCTACAGGTATTTTCACTTTGAAAATCTCTGATAAGTACAAGTATGATCAATCAAAATGCGTGGAGAGGCCCAATGCTTCAGTAAACCATCGGCACATAATACCATTGTCTGAATTACCTACACCGAAACCCCCTTATCTTTCCTCATTGAATAGACAGTTCAATGTTTCATCACTAATGTGCTCCATAATGATTTTTTTCTTCTCAAAAGAATCTCATACATGCTATTTCGGTAATTTTTTTTCTTTACCTTGAATTGGAAACAGGTGATAGCACGATAATTAACACAGCAAAACGTGAACATATTGTGAGAACTGGGAGATAATCTGAATATGCTTTGTTAAAACTGCACTGCGCCATGCTTTTTGGTATACATGTAAATGATCCAGATGATAGTCAAGCATTTGCATACAATTGGAGAGACCCAGAACATACCAAAAAATAATTATCAGAAAATTAATATTTCATGCAGATATCTACTGAGATAACATTCTTGCATCTTATCGGAGGTGCACTTTTTAAACTGCTTCTGCTAAATCTGGTTCGCTTTTAATTTCATATTTCCACTTCAAACTAAAAGGAATGAAGCAACTGAGGCAAAGTTGATTTCCCTTACTCAGCTATTTGAAAAGCAATATCTCTTAGTCTACCAACTTTAAGGAAAAGAAAATGGTTAACTTAAGCATATAACTTCATTTCTGAGCTTAAATTTTAAAGTAAGGAAAATGTATGTTGAAAAAAAAGAGGAAGAAAACTAAACAAAAATAAAAAGTATATCGGTATGTCTAAATAGTCTTAAGGATTTCCCTTCGTTCACATTTTAATCCATTTTATTTTGGCTATGTAAGTTCCTACTTGTACCCGACCCGATACAATTTCACTTTTAAAAGTCTGTATCTTTCAGATAATATAAAACTGTAACACAATTCTAAATGGAGAAAGTCTATAATTACATAGCTTTAAAAGGCAAGCATTCAACAAACCATTTAAACCAATGAACTTAAACAGGCTAATTTGTGAAGGATTTCTCTCTTTTGTTCATGTACCTTTAACATAAAATATGTTTACATGTGTGTATATCCAAGGAAAATTTTGTACATGAACTGTATACCATAATCATGTATTCTTTACAGTATGTAAGATTTATCATACTATCAAATTTCTTAAAACTAAAACAATTTTATCAGATTTAATGTCCTGTTGTTGATTTCCTGGATTTCTAATGCCATAGCAACACGAATGTAAATGTACATCAAATATGGTGGTGAAAGCATTTCTTGGTAGTTAACGGTGTAGTTGGCCAGTTAATTACAAATAATATCATTATGTCTGCACAATAACTCTCTTTATAATACAATGAGATTCATTATCTCTCTGAACTAACATTTATTTTTCCCTAAGACGTCTACATAAAGAACAATTACTTATAACCTTGATATTCTCGACTTTTTACCTTACAAACAACTGAAGTATTATTATAAACTGTAAGTTAAGCTGCTCCTTGTATTGCTGCTTCAGTACTGTATTTGAAAAGTCACACTCCCTCCATAGAGTTACAGTATAAAGCTTTGTAGGTTTTGCATCTTCCCTAGCAAAGCATTTCTGATATATTTTTGTGCTTTGCAAGTTGTAGTAAAAAAGTCCTAATACCTCAAAATATTCTCCTGCATGTATATATATATGCATTTATATTGCAAAAAAAATCCCAAATCAATGTGAGAGAATAGGTTTTACATATAATTTACAATAAATCTTTCTGAATAGCAATTATAGAATACCTGGGTAGAAATCATTGGCTTTTGACATTTTGACACGGGCACCAGCTTCTTTTTGTACTTGGGCGATGGTTTCTCCTCCTTTTCCAATGATGGCCCCTGCTGCAATACTGGGCACTAAGATCTTCAGATGTACATTGTCACCTGAAAATAAAAGACATTTAATCAACCGAAGTGTTCATCTTATCTTGTTCTAAATAAATCAATCTTACATAAATTATATTAATTTGACTTTTATTCTAAAATCATTTCATGATTTTACAATACCCCCCTACATTTGCTTCTACTTAGATACAAATTTTAATTATCTGTGACTTTTGCTTCTAATTTTCCTTCCTCTCAACCACTTAACCATATCGATAAAGCCATATATCTGTTTGTAATTATCTAAAATGCTTAAGCCTACTAGGTGCTGAAAAAATGCAGTTCTAATACATGTCTAGCTACATTGAACTCAATAAAATGCACAATATTGACTATTTTCAATGCCATGATTTAATCCAACACACATGGCCCATAAAATCAATGATAAAAGTCTTTTATAATCAATGCTGGGTCTGAGCTGGCCATATTAAGAATTATGAAAGTTTAATGTGCTACAATCTAGGTAATTTAAGGGAAGAAGCTCAAAGCTTCCAGTGGGGTTTTTCTAACCCACACTGGTTGCATTCCACTAAGTCAGTTTCTCCTCTCTGATATGAAAGATGGTTAACCAGTTCAGGCATAAAAGGTTCATATCCCCTGTAATTAAATGCTTTTCCTTCATATTCACTTCAGCAAGAGGAAGACAACTCGATGATCTGAACTTTATGAGAAGTCTATTATTAACAAACTCTAATTTATCAGAAGCATAGTGTCTTCTTTACTTTTGCTTTCATTACTGCAGAAAAAATTCAGATGCTGTGATTATATACTAGGAAGAAATGTGAAGAAATGGATGTAAAAGTGTACTCTAAACTCTCTCTCTCTCTCTGACAGCTTGTTTTATGATTGTAGATATTAATAGAAAATGTTGCCAGATGTTTCTGGGGGAGGGAGAGAAGATGCCTCAGGCCACAAGACAGTAGATCACACAGAATTTTAGTACAGACTGCCCCATCTGTTTTCACTTACTGGGACTCCCCCCTTAACATCCAGACTTGTGCTCTTGGTGAGGGGGCATCCAGTTAGAGACATCATTTAAAGCACATGTCATAATCCAATCTGCTTACATCAGAGAAAATAAACAGATTTCAGAGATAATCCACTGCAAAGAATATATCACAGAACCATTCCATCTATTCTTAGCTACACATGCCCAGTTACCACGCTTCATACCTCCACACACACTTAAGCTTAAATTTACCAAAAATTTGGATAAAATGACTTTTTAAGAAATTAAATCATTTTACAGAATTGCAAGATTTATTATAATGGTAATATATCAATATATGTATCCAAAATTTACAAAAGAAAGTGATACTGGAAACCAAAAGATAATTTTTTGAGCGATTCCTACTGATTAATACCCTAAAAGTTTTCAACTGGATTTGTATTACCCGTTAATACATAACAGGCAATAAACAGATCACCTGCACATCAAGTAGAGAGGTAATACATGTATCCCTCTACCAACTAGGGGTTAAAGTTTTGACCTTGAGATGGCACCATCAAAAACCTCATACATGTGAAATATTTTCAGCATTTTATAGTGTAGGCGGTTGTAGCTTTATCTATCAAGGTTGATAAATTGTCTGTTTTTATGACATCAGAGGAAACCTAAGCCTATATTGCCCTTCCTTCAACCTTCAGTACTATAAAGCAGCATTCTTCTTAAACCTGGCCATTTTCTGTCTATGTATCAGACATTATAAAGGTAATCTTCACCAAGGAGAAGAAAGCAATAGGTACCCACAACATTCTCTACAGATTTATAGAGAAGGCAGCCAGAATGTGTTATATCTTATCATTGCAGAGATGCTCTTTTGGAGGCTGTGCTTCTTTCTCTCTTCTGCCATAGACAAGTATCTGTTAGATCAATCAATTTTTCACAGCAAAATATTTCTGCAGTGCGGCATTCCACATTATATCAGCATTGTGCTTGTGGTATCTTGTAATGAGTACACATCAAGCCGTGGCGGTTATTCCTCCCCGTCTATTTTGGAAGGAACACACACTGTAATTTCAATCTACCAATACTGTCATTAAGCCTTCATCCTGGACATATCTGATGTTTAAGGAATCAAAGATAGACTTGATTTTTCACACATGCAAAAAAGAAAAAAAGGGGGGAGGGCATTCACAAAGATGATTCACTAGAAATTACAACTGGTAACGGATTGGACTTGTACAGGTAGACGTGATGTATGAACCTCCTAAAGAATTACACCTAAGGTCATTTCAGGTCAAGGTGTGTCTACAATATCATCATTTTCCCCCTGAAGGTTTGAAGTTGCGCTATATTACCTTACATGCATTGATCAAAACTAATTAATCTAGTAAGTTTTATAGATAAATAAAAGAATTAAAAAAAAAATACATGAAATAACACACAACTGATCTTTAATTAAAAATTAATAATCCCAATTTTTTAAATCTAAATATTATCATGTGACATGGTCAACCTAGGTTTAAATAAAAGCACCATTGTTTACCCATACAAAACCCTTGATAAATAAGACATATAGAACATATATTGTAATTTCCATCTATTTTAACTTATTGACTCTCCTAACAGGAAATCAACTAGCCCTTTACAATCAGCTCTATAGAAAACTTGTCATTCTGGGCGCATTAATACAATGGTGAATAAGCAAAGTTCTCTTTTCAAGTACTCCTGGCCTTCCAATTTGCTTTTCTACAGTCAGTATGAAAAGAGATAAATGATGTTCAATTCATTTCTAAGACTCTTCGTCAATGCATTCTAGGATTTTTGTATATTCAGTTAAAGCTTTCTGTTTGCAAATTAAGAGACTATTGCTCAAGAATACTGCCAAGCAATTACAAAAAGATCAATTCTCGATTTGATCAGTATGCCTATCAGCGGGATCAATGCACATAAGATTCAAAACCTCCATCCCCGCAAAACTCGGAAATTTGACCTGCCCGCAAATCAACAACCAATTTCTATATGGACTACTGCTAACTTGATATGGGAGAAAATTATATAGCTAACAATCAGTAGCCTATGATCTCCTGAAAAATACTTCACAGAAATCCACAATCCTCTATGACCATTTCTTTGGCCTGGCATTGAGTTTCCGCCTACAACATGGGCCATTCTCTGTACTCAAACCATGACAAGCTCATATTGATTTGCTTTTTTTCTAGTCCACTTCAAGATTGGACTATTTTTTGGCCTATTCAGCAAATATATGAATTGATGATTGACACTGGTTGTGCATGTTGCTCTAACTGAAGAGACACTGCTGAGATAATTAATTTCTTACATGCATGAACACGACCTTTTCAACCTTGCATGTGGTTATTGAACCATTTTTTATGTATAAATTTTAAATATCGAAAAAATGCCATATTGACTGCAAAATAATTCTTTTAAAAAGGAAACTTGTAAATACAAATGATTTGACTTAGTGGAATTAAATTTATCTGTAAATTTTCTTATCCCAGGAAGTATGGAGATGAACCCCCGCTGTATGAGATTTGTCATTGCCTAACATGTACAATAGACATAATAAGTGCTTGCATCCCTCATACAACTTCAATGATTCATTCCTGGAATTTTCAGAATCTGCACTCTCAAAGACAATAAAAACTTGTTTGGCAAGAGTTGCCAAGATTTGCTTAAGTACGTACTTCTAATTGTTCTTCCTTTATTTCATTTAAAAAATTCTATTATCTCTGAAATTTTTCTTCAGAATCTAGTTAATATAAATCCAATTCCTTTTAACTTTTTATAATGCTATGGAAATAAGTTACAGTGGATTTAAATATCATAAGCTAGACTCAGTGTAAACAAATTGATATGGATGTTTGGCATAAATATATCTACTCTGAAATGGTGATATCCTTACATGGATAAACAAAGTTAATAAACCTCAATTAAGGAGTGTCAAACACATTTTAAGACTGCCTTCAATACCATGTAACAGTTATGTACCTTTATCTTGATAAAGTTCTATTTTAATCCATTTCATCAGATCTATAAATAAACCCTATCCAGTATTTCTTGTTAGTACATGAGCAGTGCAACTCCCATAAAACTCAACATCACATGACAAGTCTTCTGTGAATTATTTTTTTCAATCATAATATTCGTTACGTAAGATGTTGGCAAATGCACAACAGCGCAAAAAGCGTGATACAACACAGCAAAATGAACAAAAGCCAGGGTGGAATATGTCTCTTTATAAAAAAAAAACAGGGATGATAATGGGAAGAATACATACAGACATTTCATTACATACATACAAACACACACACAATGTATACATGACAAAATGATTACCCATGACGGTGTCACCGTTGGCTTCCTCCGTCATCATCTGATGAAGCTGGTCTGATGTGCCTACAAAGGAAAGAGATGACATAGTGAGGTGAGAATGACAAGGTTCAAATGCTGTGAAATAATGCACAAGGGAAGGCTGCATGGAGATCTCACAAGTTTCTTAATTAATGGAAGAGGAATCTGAAATGAAATCGCTTCCAAGTTATTCATGTGTACGAAAAAAATAAAGAAAAAATCGTCCTACTGGTCAAAAGATTGATGAAGAAACAATCGTCCAGTCATCCTTCGAAAAAATATAAGAACCCAAAAATAATGCAAAGCAAATGAAATGAAAATAGACAAAAATATCAGGAAACAAGGATTCCAAGTAACACTTACTGTAATAATACACTGGTGGAATGAAATTGAAATACATCTGCTCTAGATTGCTAGCTGTCGACAATGAAGGAGTATGACAAGCATGTGATGAAGGATGATCAAGAAAATGCTGTTTTATATATACGCTTTTATGAAAAAGTAACAACAAATGAAAGAAGGAAGTTAACTCATCACACATATAAAGAAAAAGCCCTGTGCTGGGGTAAAGTGCTACCGGGAGATAGATTTACAAGTACAGACTGGGAATTGTGCTTTCCCTATAAGGATACGACAGTGGTTGTACTGTCAATAATCAATGAACTTCATACGGTCTGACTCCAGGACCGAGGGAAACTGTACGCCGCGATCTATAGCTTCAGAAGTCACAGGAGAAAATTACTATTCAAGCATATGAGGCAACTACCAGTGATCCGGTCCCAACACCCTGGTAATGAACCCCTGTTTATTGAACACATTAATTTTCCAGTCCAATATTTACTCCAATGTTTATTGACTCTGCATTTGTACTGGAAGGACTTAGACTATGGATGAGAGAGTAAATTAACCTATATTGAAAATCAAATTATCCTACTTATTGCAAAATATTTGATTTTTTTCTTCCCAATTACTATAATGAATGATGTTCTCCATTTTCAAAAGTGAAAAAAAAAGACATCCTGTTTTTGCTTGCCTGGTATAGATGTATTTTTATATTATCTACAAACTTCCTTGTGTGTTAGATATTACCTTAGGAGAATAAATATTTTGCTGACTCAAGTGAAACACAAGCATACATACTCTCTCTCTCTCTAAATGACAAGACACAAACACAGCTGGTGACCCATGTGACTCAAGAAAAGTACAAAAGAAAAGGAACATGTTCCTGAACTCATATCATGAAGCGCAACAACATGTACTTATTTTACATGTGACTTTTCATTAAAAGAAATATGTACAAATTAACACTGCCTAAACTTAAAAGAAAAATAGTCATGAGGGTGTATAATTCACTCTCCTCTGCAGTTACCATAATATAATTTTTTTAGTCCCTTTGACTATAAATATACCACTTATATAACTTTTAAGATATTCCTGATTTTGATGATATCATCTTTTTTGCATCGAACATAAATTACAATCTGTGTACATATCAGTATCTTTGAGGCTTTTTTTTTCGTGAATCTTATCAGTGATAATTTTAAGTATTTATGACGGGATGACATGTTTAAAACAAAAATTAGTGCAGAGCGCAGAAGCATACATTTCCTGAGATATATGTGCTTTCCTTACATTGAAATTAAAATCTAGCGAAAATAAATTTCAGTAGTAATTAATGCTACATGTAATATAAATAGCTTTGTAAAAATCTTAATTACAATACACCTGGATGTCCAAGGAAACTGTGAAATTTGTTTTCCAGATGTTCTATATACAAATTCTTAATTGAATCTGCAAATCTACCAAGCAGCTAAACTTCATAATGAAACCCTCAAAAATATATTAAACCAAGATTTATATTTAAATCTATGTGTGTCTAAGCTACGTACATCTTGAATGTAAACTCATGTACAAAAGTAAATATAGAGAGGTTAATTGACTCGAGAATTCCATTAACTGACCTTTAAACTAAACCCAGTTTTGACTAGGTATCTCCTACACAAGGTGTAATGTTTATACTTTTTAACACAAACCCTTAGCAATACTATATCACCTTAATCATTGACACAAAAATTACTATGCAGAAAATTTACTCGTCTGACCAGAAGAATGATAAAAAAAAACAAGCAACGTTAAAAACTATGGAAATACGTAATCCTATGACGCATCCCAGCTAAACAACAAGAGAATAAACCATTGCATAGTATAAAAGCTCTTCACTGAAATAAATCCTGACACCTATGATGTCTCTTACCTAGGAGGGATTGCCAAAAATCAACTTCAACTTGTTTCTCTGAAGGCCTGCATAAAACCCCCATCTCCCACATATACACACGTACAGCCAGCTGATCACACTCAGGGCAACAATCACACTGCAGATCTCCACGATATCTCTGACTGTTCTCTCTCTCTCTCTCAGTAACCAGATGTCCCCACCCACCCCTGGATCTCAGAGGGGAGGAACAGATATAATTAATTCCCAGCTACTGTGACTGAGTACTGATTTACTATCAGATTAGTGATCCATCATACATGAAGACATCTTATTATGGACAACTTCTGGCCTGGATGAGACTAGTGAGTTATCTGTTTCACAGGCAACTTCACCTGGTGTGATACTATCTAGTAATCTAGATACCTTGTCTATTCTCTCGGTTTCCTATGTATAAGTTCCTATAGCCCCTGATCATGGTGAGATGTCAATTACACACATCCAGGACACTTAACCTTTACATGATAATTAATCTATGTAAAGTTGCACTTCCTAATGCAAATGGAGTTACAGTTGCAAAATTTGACACAGAGCTGCATTCAACTCCATCATACAAGAAACTTATTTTGATTTTTTTTTCTTTCATTCTTATTTCTCCATTAGAATAAAAATCAGTAAAAAATATTTTGACTTAATAAATCAAAAGAAAAAAATTTAGCTGCCTAAAAAAGTTGCTATTTTAACTTATTTCCTCAAATTTAAAAATATCCATGCATTTACATATTTTCTTAAAACTTCCCATGAAAAGACTGTGCCAAGTAATTTAAAGATTTAAAAAAAATCATCTATACCTTTTATATAAACAACTTTTTAAACAACTTCTGACGCTATACTTTTTAAAACAATATAAGTAACATTACAAACACTTTTGTATTTTGTATCATAGCCACAGTACAAAGTCAACATGAAATTTCATTCCATTTAACAAATGTTTTAAGTAAAAATCTTTTCAGAAGACTATATAATGTTTCCAATTTTTGCTATGCTAAATCCTACTCGCTATTCATATTATAATTTTGAGAAGGAAGCAACACAGTTTTGACTTGGACATCCAATACACAGCATTCAATATGGCTTAACAAATGAATTATAACCTTTAACTCCCCACCCCCTCAGAGATCTGATGATAAAAAATTCCACTGACCACTCTTTGTCTTTTCATTGAGAGCTGCCATAGCTACTGGACAACACACATAACTGGTATACATAAGTGATGAAATATTTGCTGCATCAGCTGGTATAGCAATCAATAATTATATTCTTACAGTAACCATCCATCTACACATGCACAGTTAATCCAGCTTAATTATGTTTGCCATATGGAGATATTTAGGTACTCCTTAACTAAAACCATTGGTGGGGGACCAATGAACTGAAGAATATTCTTTAAATTATAAATCAAGTCATAGAGTTTTGTTTATCAAACAAAATCACAAGTATTGATTTTCCTCGATAAAATTTTTGCAAGTAAGCAAATTAATTAAATGTTTAATCAAATGTAAAGGCACCTACATTTGCAAAGAAGAGTT